AGAACGCGACCTGTACGGTCTCTGCCTCGGCAGTAAGTGAGCTAACGAGAGCGAACATGCTGGGGACAGAAACGTAAAGCATCATTATCACTGATGGTCGCGCGAGGGGCACGAGGGAGAGCGTAAGCGTTCTTCAGATGGGCTTTCCAGGCTTCTCCCTGTGCGACATCTACAGGAAAGTGTCTGTTTCCAGAGCGAGCCAGTGACACTGCGCTGCACTCCGTGCCTTCCCTGCCACAGACGCCTGTTTTCCTGGAGAAGATTAAAAATACGCTATTGATTAAAAGGACAGAACGAACCATTTTCTGCTGCCTTAGAGCCCACATCCATTTACAGGGAACACGGGTACAGAGGAACAAGCTGGCTGAAGCGAGGAAGAAAACAGACAAATCCAGGAGGGGAGAGGAGCTACGGGGCACATGAGCCAGTTTCTTCACCAAGTCCGTGACGTAAAGAACTGCAAAGGGGAGGTGGGTCATCCTGGATTAAAGAAGATGTAAGAGACACGACGTCGGATACAATATGTGAGCGTTTTCAGATCCTTATTTGAATAAGCCAGCTGAAAAATAGGCTATTTTTTTCAGACAATCAGGAAAATTTGAAAATGGCCTGGGTATGGACCTTCCCGGGATCGATGGAGGACTTCTTTGGCTATTATAATGGCATCGTGGTTAGTATGTAAGCAGATGTCCACACACTTTAGAGATAGGCAAGGACGTGTGTAGGGGGATAAGAGGACGGGGTGTTGTCTTTGTCCGCAGTGTGACCGTCTCCGTGGAAAATCGGAAAGAAGGCGACACAAAGCCTCCGGGACCCAGTAAGGAGCGCAGCAAAGCTGCGGGACGCGGGCTTAATACGCTGAAGTCAACCACTGTCCCATATACTGCAGCGAACAGTGGGATTTGAAAAACACACACGGTTCCCATTAGCACCCCCAAAATGAAATACTTAGGTCTAAGTCTAACAAAATACGTACAAGATCTCTGAGGAAACCTACGAAACCCTGATGAACAAAATCAACGGAAAACCACACTATGTGGAAGACACCCCACGCCCTGTACTGTGAGGACGCCAGCTCTTCCCAGCTGGATCCACATGCTCGGAGCCATCCCGAATGAACTGCCAGCCAGTTATGCTGTGGATAGCAAGACCCCAATCCTAAAGCCTGTATGCGGAGCCTGAAGGACCAGGAGAGCCAACACGACATTGCAGGAGAAGAACAGAGTTGGAAGACGGACGAGACCCAACTTAGCCACAGGAATCAAGGCAGTGTGAGAGAACAGACAGACCAACGGGACAGGATGCAGAGCCCAGAAACAGACCCACGTAAACACAGCCAGCTGATCTTTGACAGAGGAGTAAAGGCGATCCGATGGAGCAGAGATCATCTCCTCAACAAATGGCACTGGAACAGCGGGACGTCCACATGCAAAAGAAATCCATCCAGAGGCTGACTTCACACCCTTCACAAAAATCAACTCAAAAGGGATCATCAGCTTAAATGTAAAATGCAGAACTATAAAACCCCTCGAAGATAACACGGGGGAAACCTAGGTGACCTTGGGTGTGGCGATAACTTTTTTTTTTAAGTAATCTTCGTACCCGACGTGGGGCTCAAACTCACGACCCTGAGATCAAGGGTCGCATGCTCCACCGACTGAGCCAACCAGGCACCCCTGGCAATGACTTTTTAAATATAATGCCAAAGGCACAGTCGTTGAAAAAAAATAATTGGCCAGCTGGACTTAATTAAAATGAAAAACTTCTGCTCCAGAAAAGACAATGTCAAGAGAATAAGACGAGACACACTCTGGGAGAAAATATTTGCAAAACACACATCTGATAAAAGACCAGTATCTGAAATACACAAAGAACGGGACGCCTGGCTGGCTCAGTCGGTAGAGCATGTGGCTCCTGATCTGAGGGTTGTGAGTTTGAGTCCTGTGTTGGGTGTGGAGCTTATTAAGAATGAATGAACGAATGAATGAATGAATGAATGGAAGCAAGGACTCTTAAAACTCAACAATAAAAGAACAGCTGATTAAAATATGGGCCACAGATACCCATTAACGAACACCTCACCAAAGACACACAGATGGGAAAGAAGCACAGGAGAGTTGCCCCACACCGTATGTCATCCGGGAAAAAATGAAATAGAAGCAACGAGATACCATTTCACCTGTTGGAATGACCACAGGCTGCACACCGTCTACACCCGGTGCCGCAAGGAGGTGCAGCACCAGGAGCCCTCGCTCACTGCTGCTGGGAAAGCAAAATGGTGCAGCCGCCTTGGAACACGGCTTGGTGCTTTCTTACAAACCCAGAATTTTCCTTCCATACAACCCAGCTCCCTCACCCTGGGTAATTGCCCACAGGAGTTGAAACATACGACCACAGAACAACCTGCATGCAGGGGTGCCTAGGTGGCTCAGTTGGTTGAGCATCCAACTCTCGATTTTGGCTCAGGTCATGATCCCAGGGGTCCTGGGGTCAAACCCTGCATTGGGCTCCGTGCTGAGCATGGAGCCTGCTTAAGATTCTCTATCTTCCTCTGCCCCTCCCCCGCTTGTGCTCTCTATAGAGGGATGGATGGATGGATGGATGGATAGATAGATAAAAACCCTGCAGGCAGATGTTTATAGCAGCTTTGATGGTAAATGGCATAGCTTGGAAGCAACCAAGAAGTCCTTCAGTAGGTGATCCCTCTCTGCCTTTCCCCTGATCACGCTTTCTCTGTGTCTCTCTTGCTCTCAAAAATAAACTTAAAGGGGCGCCTGGGTGGCTCAGTCGGTTAAGCGT